CAAATAAAACGGCGGGACTATAATTTGTGGACGAATCAACCAGGTATAAGATAATAGATCTCGGATTTTAACGCGAAAGCCTTTCATCCATTTGGCTAAATAAATTTCTGGCATTATAGCTGATGTCAGTTCATGATGAAAACCCCATATATAATTCCTAACTAAGGCAAATTACGACAATTATTGCGAACTGGATAATAAAAGCACCAGTAACACTGGCTGCACCCAGGTACTACAATATATACGGATGTTTGGAGATGGTACAGACTCCTACATAGTCTTGGTTATGTGCAACGTGTCATTATCCACAAGTAGCATTTTGTGCACTCAACAACCGGTGTGCACATAAACAATATTGAAGCTATGTGGTCAAGGCTAAAAGAGTATTTGAGACTTTATCATGGCTCGAGAGGCCGACTATTCTGTAGTCGTATGGATGATTTTCTCTACTGCATGCATTACGATTTTAGAACCTCTGAACCTCTTTCTAACCCTGACAAGTTTTTGAACCACGTATAAGAAGTGTATCCACTTTATTTCCTTGGTTTTGTATAACATATTTTTACTCTGCATTGACTGTTTTGTGACTGGCTAATATTTCTCAAGGTTACTTAAGATTCGTTCAAAGGTCGTCCATAAACTAGAGTCTCGCCACTCATTCTTTTACTAAACGACTTGTTTTGGGCTGAATCTTTTGGAGTAAAATATCAAGACATGTAAAGTCAATGAATAATTATCACAGATAGTGTGGGAACTGACATAAAATATAAACTGTCAAATTATTTCAATTGGATTGGTTGAAATCAGACAGTAATGCCGTTGGATGCCAGCTCAGTGGATTAGTGGTTAGTTCGCTCGTGATATCGGAGGTCGTGGGTTCGGACCACGCGTTTTTGGTTGTACATGAGCACTGTTAAAAAGTTTTATACTAAGACGAAATGACCGTCCATTGCTTTTAGGTTTTCACTGGTGGTAAACTATTATGTTTGATGAATAATTTTAAAACTGTTTCACTGAATATTAAGGAGACTTTAATCATCTCAATCACTTAATTATCCAGTCGGGACAAATCCCAGATTAGTGGAAGTAGTGACAGTATCAGTGATGGTAGAAAACGTTAGGCATAAGAAATATGATTCCAGAAGAATGAATTTGCCGAACAAAGAAGTATAAAGTAGAGTTAGAATTCAAAAATTAGGGAAAAAAAGGGTGAATTCATATGCAAAATTGTGATGAATTTTGCTCCAAATCTACTAGTATCCTCTCTTATTGGTTATGATAATTGCACTGATTTCAAGTAGGTGATCTGCAACTACAAATATGCCACAGTTTAATAGTTAATGACTTCACGGGCTGACACTACTTTTGGTTTGCTTCTATAACCTTTCTTCCAACTTACTCTTATACCAGAAAACACCGCATATCGATGTATACGATGTTTGGACATATGTATTAAATATCCCAATCACAAGAGTCGATGAAAGCTTCACACCTCCATCAACTGGTTTGTCACACCTAATCAATACCATCTGCTTAATCTCAGAATCGTACTTTCAGTGGTCCTAACATACTCAAACAATGCTTAGAAGGCATTCTTGATCAGATACTAGTAACTTATCAAAATTCCCTATTTTTTATAAGTTACGTTCCATGGTGATAAAATAAGACCGAACGAACTGGTACGCAGTAAACTCATTCTTTAGTTTCCAAACGAAATTCTCTCTTAGAATACAAGTGATGAAATCTTACAAAAGTCAGCTAGGCCTCCCGAATCCGTTCTGAGATCTTGCCAGACGGCAGTTTAATATAACTGATGAGGCTTTCAAGATAAATGAAGTTAAGAGCAACCAGAAGTGTGTTTAACAACAATTTGAGTCAAGGTTTGAAACTAAGAATCTATCGATCTTATTGTAGAACCTATAAATCCCATGTTTGATCGAATATGAAGTCTTGAGTGCACATTACTAGGAGGTCTCATCTGTTAACGAAATCTCTTATTATTGAAACGAGGTTTCTGAATTGTTTTCCAGCTGATGTCAGTTCATTGTGACAAATTACCTCAAATTCAACCCTCAACGTTGATTATTGGGTACTTTTAGTCAAGTGGTTTAATATTGTTAAAGCGTTCTTTGTTATGTAGAATTAAAAGTATCGATAAAACATTAAAATTGATGGTACATAGGTCTTCATATGATGAGGAAGAATTAAGTCTAACAGTTATAGTTTAATTCATTAGGGAACAAGTGGTCAACAAAGCTGATATCCTCCTATCATTCACCACACTTAATCATATTATTTTCCCGTCAATAGTTTGTATATAAGTATGTTATTTTATGGGCTAGAAGACCTATTCATCTAGCTAACGATCTTGTTTTTGATATTAACTCCTTCGGGATTTGAGTTAATAATGCAATCTCATGAACAGCTATCACTTAACCAAATCGTATCATTGCGATTCATTCGTCAGTTAGCAGTCTATCTGTTCACATTTCAATAATCCAAAACTCATTCGTTTGTGAAGTTCTCTTCATTTTAAAATGCTTGACTTCAAAAGATTCACATCAATAACCTTTTATGTTTATCACAACACTTATTTTGTTAATAAACGTAATATATAGCCTTATTATTATGATCAGTATTAATAATTACAACTGATATCAAACTTGAATTCATGAGTCAGTTATATCTAGACCGCTATGGAAGACTTGGAAGCATTGGATGGCCGTTTCATTCTAGTATGGGACTCCTCAGCAGTGCGTATACACAATCCTGCTCATGGGATTAGAACCCAGGATCTATCGGTCCCGCGCGCGAACACGAGTTAGGATTTAAACACTTACTGTAAGTGAGAGATATTCATAGTTGATTTTATGCCAAATTTTTGTCTAAAAATTAGTTTTTTTTCTGTTAAAGATGTTAATAATAGTGTTAATCACAAGATATCAATTTAAATTTGGTACAATTACAATGGTAAGTGATATTAGAATTTTCACTGGTTGAAATCATGAGTCAATTGAAGCTAAACCACCACTGGACGGCCGTTCCGTCCTAATATGGGACTCCATACACCATTGGCTTCAGTGAGTTGATATCTCACGACCGACCTAGTTGAACTCCACGGGTAACGGCTTCTCACTAGAACTCCAGGAGTGACTTCAAGAGATAATCCTAGTATGGGACTCCTCAGTAGTGCGCATCCACGATCCCACCCCCGGCTCAGTGGTCTAGTTGGTTAAGCGCCTGGCGCGAGACTAATAGGTTCTAGGTTCGAATCTCGCGGGGGGAGGGATCGTGGATGCTGCTGAGGAGTCCCATACTAGGACAAAACGGTCGTCCAATGCATCCAGGTTTTCCATGGTGATCTAGCTTCAATTGACTCATGATTTCAACCAGTGAAATTTCTAAAATCTCCACAAAACCCATTCTGATATTAGAATTGTTTCCTTCCACTGCTAAGATACTTGTAATTGAATCATATGCAATGAAGCAATTTATTAACTTGTACAGTTTGAATTTATGAAGTTGAGTTCTTGGAGGTAATTGATAGGAAACCCTGCGACTAGATGTCATATTATTTAGCACTGATTTATTAAGGCTCACCTGTAGTCTTCAAGGCACTGACATTCCATGTTGATTTAAATCCACAATACTAAGATACACAATCCAAGAAATCATGATTGAATTATTCGGTTCACTACTTACTTAATGAAGGACCGAGATATTTACACTGATTGGTCAATGAGTATCGATTAATATCATGTTTGTCCTATCCTTAGTGCAAACTTTGGGCTTTTTCAAATCGTATTTTTAGGTCACTTATTTCAAACGTTATATTTACAGATGATGTGAAGCAGCATATTAAAATGTCATTTAGAAAATATTCATAGTAAGCACTAGTAAGTTGTCAATCGTAAATGTCAAGTCTGAATGATACCTACGACAGATTTAATGTTATGAATGGTCTTAAGTTAAGTAACGATTGGAAATCATGAGACACTGGATAATTATTTCATTCTAGTATGGGCTTTATGAGTAGTCTGCAACCTTAAGCATATCAGGGATCTGAAATAAGGATTGCAAGTTACATCACAGACAAATTGACTTTATATCACTAAACTGATAAATATTAGTTTACGATTTTAACTTCAATCAATTCATGGCTTGATGTAAGTAATTAATCGGAGTCAACCATACAGCTCTACTGGCCAGGCATGTTTTTAGCGTATATCCACACAAGCAGAACCAAAATTGCTAGTCAGCGAGTATCCATTTGAATGAGCTCTTTTTTATATTGTAGATCATGGAACATCAAGCTACAGTTCATTGACTACTCAATCGCTAATACCATATGAAGCTATCGTTTTTGTCTTTAGAATTATCATATAAAGTATCAGAGTCGTTGAAACCATAGATATTCCCCGATCTCTAGAATCGATAGGGTCTTTAGTCTCCCTGATGCTGCTCTCAACATCTTAAGGAATTGTCGTATGGATGCTTCTTAAGGCTTTTTTTACTACAGATTTAATTTTGTTGAGACAAACCCCTCTATAAACAGAAGTTCTTGAACTGTAATTTATAATTATCTTGATGTAGTCCCAGGTCATTACTAACATGATTTAAAAATTGCACAATCCACACAAGAATCAACATTCCTATAATTGTGTTTGAATACTCTTGTTATAAAAATCATTATTGACATTCAAAACAAAGATGGATGGTGGCTAGCATTGGGAACCAGGGTGTGCGTTTCGTCCTATTTAGGACTTTGTAGCTGGATGTACCTACATAATAGAGTTGATATTCACTTCAGCACTCGAACTCAGTATCGTTCTCTTCAAACGTCAACCTATTATGCACTAAAGTTGTGCAATGGCGGGGAGGGGAGGAAACCTTTAATCCATTGATCTTTAAGACTACAGTCGATCAATCTCTTATTGACATAATATAAGCGATAATACTAGTTGATTATTAAGATTACAAAGAATATATATATAACTTACCAAATGTACTAATGTAACGAATGCTTGTCTAACATGAAGACCAGTTTTTGCACTAGTTTCCAAATATACACAATTAATACTTTTAGCATATTCTTCAGCTTTTTGCATAGATATAGCACGTGCTGGCTACAATAAGAATGATTATTTTGTTTTTAGAAAGAATAAATAAAATTGAATAAATACCTACTAAATCATTTTTATTACCAATAATCACTTTAACTAATCTACTACCAGAATATTGTTCAATCATTTTAACCCATGTGTTTAATTCTTCAAAACTTCTTTGACAACCAACATCATAAACTGAAAAAGGAAAAAAAAGTAGTTAAGGTCGACTGTTACTTTGTCATGGTCAAAAAAAGTGATGAATATTTCTGGTGAGATCTATAATTTATGGACGATCTTTAAGTGATACGAAAATGAGTTTGCCCCCCTCCCAAATGCCCTGGTACAGACGAGAATGGGGAGAATCAGCTCTCCTTCTCCAAATGCTCTCATATGGTCACGTGCATACAACCACTGCCACAGAAGTCCTACTCACTACCTTCTCAAATCAAGGGTATTGTTTACAAAGTTGAAAGGAGGAAAAGTGAATGTCAGGCGCTTTAACCGGGTTGGTGGACACGGAAAGTTCACCAAGGGGAGTTGGAAAACCCTTATTCCAAAACAATGGTGCACATGGGCTGGCCCTAGTATCTTGAGAGAACAAATGGCGTATGAACCAATTGTTGGTCACCGGCTACCATGTGACTGCATCTCCTAATGTCATGATACTATTCAATCAAATAAGTGAGTGAATTTCGCGCCAAAATCCAATACCCTTTTATCTTAAATTTGATTGCTTCATTCATACATTATAATCTAATCATATTTCTTGATACCTTTTTATACTTACCTACTAAAGCACCTTGTGCATGACGAAAATATGATGGAGACATATGATTTTTAAATCTTTCTGTACCAGCTGTATCCTTAATTGTATTTATTTGAATACAAAAGAAAAATGTATTTACCCAAATGTAAAGTTTAATTAATTCACCATTCAATCTCATTTCATATAATTTTAAATCGGTACCAATTGTAGAGACTGGTTCATTTTCATCAGATCCTTTAGTGAATGATTTTAATAAACTAAACAAGTAATAAGTAGTATTATTAAGTAGTATGAAGTGGAAAGATAAACAAACCTTGATTTGCCAACACTTGAATTACCCACCAAAATAATTTTAATTCGTTTACTTATATTATTACATTCATTAGTACCGTCCAAATCAACAACGTTTGATTCCATTCTATGCTAAAATATAAATAAAATAATGATTGATAAATACTTTAAGAATATACAATTGTATGAATGAAGAATATTCTTTTCAATAATTTCTCATCAGGTTCCACAATTAGAAATCCAAATTCATGCAGGTAAACTACAAGTCATGTTCTCCACACGACCAATAATCCCTCCGAGGTCGAAAGATAAATTGTCTAAACTAGCCACCTCTTTCTGTATCTATCAATTCAACGGCTCCTGTGGAACAAGTTATATTTGCAAATCTTCTAGGAACTTGTACATTCCGGGTTCGTGAGCACCTCCCCGTATGGTTAAGCAAAGGTGTAGTCAAAACAGTTAACAGTTCCATTTGAGACGATCTAGTTCACATAGGACATACAGTCAACATGAAGCAATCTTTTGCAATCATCTATCATGTTAACAGCAGTCTACCTAATTCCGTCAGACTGCGAATCCTACAGACGGCTGAAGTAATTGCTATTCCGATCAGAAATCCAGAGCTTTACATCTGAAAGAAATATTTTCAGCCACTCCTTTTATCCTGGCCAACTTTGGCGCCAACCAGTTAATAATCAGTTTCATAATATGGTGACGTAATTTGATTAATGTTCATTTTATGTCCCAAACTTATCTTACTATTATTACTGTTACTATTATTATTATCATTACACTTGATAACCTTTTTGAGGAGTTCATTCAGTATCCACCTCTAAATCTACTATATCTAACCTAATTCATATTATTCTACATATTACGTAATCTCTGATTTCTATTCCATTACTCTCTCTCCCATCCCATGTTGACCATATTTATTCTGATCATTTATTGCACAATTTCATTTCACTTATAAACTGATTCAAATTAACAGCTTCATATTGGTCAACCCCAACATTAACGATCTGATTTGATAACAAACAACAATTCTTAATTCATATATTACAATTTCCAAATGATTTACTCTGCCTTAAATCTGGCCAATTTTATGGATTATTAATTTGGATTTGCAATTGTAGATATTAGATGGGTTTTGTAGAGATTGTAGTAATCTCAATGGTTAAAATCATGAGTCAGTTGAAGCTAGACCACCATGGAAAACCTCGAAGCACTGGACGACCGCCTCGTCCTATTGTGAAACTCCTCAGCAGTGCGCACCCACGACCTCGCCTCCCGCGAGATTCGAACCCAGGACCTACTGGTTCCACGCGCGAGCACTTAATCACTAGACCACTGGTCTGGCCGGCATCCAACGGTGTTAATGTCTAACCTCAACTAATCCACGAAATTGAGCGACACATTCAGCATTGTCTTCAGTGAGTTACTATCACACAAATAACTCGGTTAAACTCCACTGGTCACTACTTCTCACCAGAACTCCAGGATATACCTCGTCAAGCCAGTCACTAGTGAGCATATGTTGATTAATATCAGATTGATTAATATCATGATCTTAACCATAGAAATTGTAGATATACGTGATGAGAAATTATTGAAAAGAAAATTCTTCGTTCATACAATTGTGTTTTAATATAATGAGAACTTTAAGAATAGGAAACCCATGAAAATCTTACTACTGTATTTCTACTCTTACTCTTACCTTTTGAACAAGTTTGTAGCTATATGAATTGAGTAATTCAAGGAATAATAAGATGAAATGAGAGCAATGGATTCAAATAGTAGTCACAATCCATCTATTATATATAACTAATGATAAAGTAGTTATGTTAGAGGTAATCTGCACAAGATGTATATATCCATTCAAATTCATAGAAAAAAAGTAGTAAAACGACTTCATAGGATGAGTGATTACGTACTTACTTGCCTGTTACCTCTTGAAAAAGAACATGGGTCATCAACTAGAACTTTTTATCAAACCCTGTCCTAAGCAAAACTTTCTAATTGTTTTTAGTTGCTATTCATTCTTTTCATGTCTGATTGATAGAGACAAGTCAGAAGTAATGCTAAACTGATGCTATAGTCATTTTCACCTATGTCAACCAACAAGAAGTGGGTCTCTTTAACTTAGAAATATTTCACAACTGAGGTAATGAAATCTGTTAAAACATAGGATTTGTAGTTAGTCTAACAGTTTCTCAAGAAACATTACCAGTTGTACATTGATACCAATGTAGCCAATAATCCCATTTCATTGTGTGCTGAAATATTCACCTTGAAGGTTGTCCCGTCAATCCTTCTCATAACCATGAGGCATTCTAGAAACAATTTCAGATTATATGTTAAATCTTTGCTACTGAATAGGACGAAGAGTTATCGTGAAGAACTCGCGAGGCAAAAACAATATGAGGAATTCATGAACAAAAACCACTATCAAGTTTAACACTGTCACATTACCAACTCAACTATTATTCAGTGAATTACTAACAACGTGATTTGTCAGATAACTCACTGTTAGACAAAGTGAACAGAATCAAAGCTCACTGATTTACATGTTATGTACAATCTACATAGAAGGAAGTCGACATTCGATGTGTAACAATGACACTGTGATTGCCAGTCTGATGAGGACGGAAAGTAATTTTTCTCAATAGTTTCGAACGTTTATACGAAGTATAGAAGTGTATTTCCATTGCCCTTTTCACATAATGTGAGATAAATTTACTCGGTTTTAAATTATATGGCAAAAGTAGGAAGTAGTTCCGTAATCCTCATTGACTCATCCCTACATTATAGTTTGATTATAGAAGATTTGTAATTATTGTTCATCTAAAAGACAGTGTTTCCTAAGTGTAATTTCAATCAATTCGCTTCCTTTATTGGACTCATCAGTACTATCAACCTCGGTGGACTTGTTGTGAAGATAGTACAGATGAGGAATTGAACAGATCAAGGTTGATGACTGTACAGAATATATATCTTAGTAATTTCGTCTGTTTGTCGGACATCACGAGTAATAATCTCTTATGATAGAGAACAGCAAAGAAGCATGCATTTAAGAAGGAAAGTAGGAAGAGAAGATGGGAGTGGATAGGTCAGGCTTCAGGGAAATCGTCAAACTGTATGATAAAGTAAGTCTTAATATTGAAATGCTAAGGCAAGAGGAAAATAAGTAGATTAAGTAAAACCTTGTGTTGCTAATCGGAGACAGTCATTGAAATAATGAATAGTAATTTGGCAAGAACATGCAAGGAATTCTCTGGATAGGTTTGTTTTGTGATCGCTCGTCAGCGACGTATGTTCCACGAGGTCTGACAGAATTAACTAAGTGAGTGAATATCTTCATAATGCAATACATAACTGTACCGAAAACTAAGACATTAACGTCCGCAGCCGAAAGGAAAACTCTGTACTTAAGACTTAATTTCAAATGTGATATTGTGAGTGAGATTTTAACATATTGTATAAACTGGTTTATTAAGACGACATTTAGTGCCGCTAAATCCCACACAATATCTTCAATAAAACCACTATTTTGACTCAGCAATTTAAGAATAAGATACCATCGATGCATTGATCTAAGTGTGTTTATGAATTTAATCGTTCATTTGCAGCCAATTACGGTAACCCTACTCAATGTTTCTTAACCTTATTCACTCTCAAACACTTGATAGCATAGTTAGAAAGAGTAAACATTAAATCTATTAACCGTTCCATTCTTCCTAAACTAATTGATCATAAACAAAACATTAGAGTTGAAAAATTCTTTCACATTTATCCATCAAGTTCCTAGCAATCTCCTGAAAAGGCGCAATCTTAAACTTACTCTAGATAACTGAAGCAATTTATATTAATTAGAGAAAAGCTAACTTTTGTATACAATAAAAAGATACGTACAATCTGTTTGTTTACTTTGATCTGGATTAGAGACATTTCATTCTTAGTTCTAAGTTTGTTCATTCTCCTTCATTATGATTTGCACTGTTTTCCAAGACGTTTGTTTTTTTTAAAAATTGAATTGTATATCCTTGTTTCTTACTTTACGTGGTATGTTTACCAATTATTAATTTTAATACCATTATTATTATTATTATTATTATTATTATTATTATTATTATTATTATTATTATTATCCATAACAACTACTGCATAATTTTAATGTATTGATATAGTAACTTTAATCAGAAAGAGGTTTTGTCGAGATTTTAGTAATTTAATAGTTGAATTCATGAGTCAATTAAAGCTAGATCACAATGAGAAATCTGGAATCACTAGACGGCTTCACGAGATTCGAACTCAGGACCTATCAGTTTCGCGTGCAAACGCTTAACCTCTAAACTATACAACGGTGGTCTAGCTTCAAATAACTGATGAATTCAACCATTTAAATTAAATATCAGTTAGAAATAAATAGTGATGAATTCACTTGATGTTGTTCACTTGTGTCTTTGCGGATTGCCTCGATATGGCTTTGAGTCACATATACCAACAAAAGACTGATCAGTTGCAGTCCTAAAAAAACAATCGAAAGATACAAATAAACAACATCAAGTGAATTTAAACTTCACCTCATTACACCAACTCGTGGCTATCAGGACTCAGTAGTTAAGTAGATAACGTAATGATGTTTGTTACGATCGCTTTTGGGTTCGAGTCCTGAACTGAATATTAACTATGGGATATATTTAGATCCAGTTGACGAGTCTCAAATAGGACATTACTATTAATGAATTACAAATCATCGAAAACGGAATTAAAGAAAACAAAAAAAAACATTTAACTGTTAACAATGTAAATTACTTACTTTCTTGAATGAATCCAGTTATAAGTTTTTCAAAGAATCATACATAAATTCTGGAACATATATAGATCATATACATATGCATAAAAAAGAAGTTTACACTGATATTGCAAAACTGTAATTAAACATTTCCATTGTTATATATATATATATACATGTATATATGTATATCCATAGTAATAGTGTTAATGGATTTCATGTGACTTAATACCATGAATAATCACTAATCTAATGATAAACAATATTAATAATACATTCTTATTCTTGTATTAATTACTGTCGATCATTTAAAAGAATTCAATTTGTTTTCAAGAGCATTGAAAGAAGAAAAAGTGTGTGTTTTTTTTCCTTTTCGTTGTTGTTGTCGTTGCTGGTGATCGACTGATTGATTGATTCATGTCGAGTTCTTATTCTCTTTTTTTCTTTTTTTTCTTTCTTTCTTTAGTTTTTTTATCTATGAAATCTGATGTTTTCTAGCTATATATATATATATATATATATATATATATATATATATATATATATATATATATATATATATATATATATATATACAGCTTTTTCGTTAGTTTTGAGTGATCAATAATGAAGTGTTTACTTGATAAGTTTATAGTCATTGAATACTTTAATGATACTTTATGGTTCCTTTTTTAAAGTTAATTCATTTAAAACTCTAAATACTGATTTTATATTATTTAATGATTATCACCGGGTAAGTAATAATGAGGTTAGACGCCAGAGTATTAGGGAATGATGATAAATCAATTGTGAATTTTCATCGACTGAGATGGTTGGGCCACGTATTACGTATGCCTAAACACCGATTACCACGACGTGCAATGCTAACCGGTGTTGTAGATGGTTGGAAGAAAGTTAGGGGTGGCCAAACTAAAACGTGGCATCAGTACTTGACGTCACTAACTTCTAGTCTGAGTCATATTGGTAGATGCAGACTACTTGGTTGGGGTCCGCGTGACTATCGTAACCAATGGTTGGAGACTCTTGGTGAAATGGTTCAGAATCTATCACAATGGTGTAGGTGTATGCACTCTCTGTCTTCCCTCAAACTAAGAGATTAAAATCGCTTAATATCTTTTTTCTACTAACTAATTCTTTCTTCCTTATATGCAATTTTACCCCCTCTGAATCAACTACTTTTATGAATCCGATGTTCATCTTGTTGTTTTAATGAGGTGAGACAACTTGGACAGATGCATATATGTGCCTGGTCCATACATTGTAGCTGACTGACTGACTGACTGGCATTATTGATGCAAATGATGCTTATATTCAGAGAGAGGTTTTATGGATATTATAATAATTTAATAGTTGAATTCATGAGTCAATTGAAGTTAGACCATCGTTGAATGTCAACTCAATGGTCTAGAGTTTAAGTGTTTGTGAGTTAAACCGATAGGTCATGGGTTCGAATCTCGTGAGGCGGGATCGTGGATGTGCACTGCTGACGAGTCCTGCAATAGGACGAAACGGTCATCTAATGCTTTTAAATTTTCCATGGTGGTCTAACTTTAATTGTCTCATGAATTTAACTATTAAATTAAGAAATTGATGTTGTTTATTGTATCCAGTGTTTTGTTTAGAGTTTGTTATCACCATTGTTATTCATAAATTCAAATAGGTTTTTATTAACTTATTCAACCTAGAGTTAGATATTGTTAGTTGAACTAGTGACCGAATTATTATTAAGACCAATGAAGTTGTTACTGAATGAATTTTTGAGGTATAAATATAATCTTGGTTAGCATAAAACGTTTTGTACATACTACAGACTTCTCTTTACTCCTAGGGTAATTAAAAGAAGTTATACAGTAAGTGATATGACCCTTGAACGAACATGAGAAGCTTTTTATCAGATTGAACATATAGAGTGGTAAATTTTATAGAAAAATATGTTTACCTTACTTTGATGAACGTGATAACCGTAATGATAGTAGTGGAATGGACTTATATTTTATGTAAACATTCCAAAAAATGATGTCCCAACAATCGCTAACCATCTATTTATCAGTATAGGGTTGTGGAGATTATTATGTTTTTGACTGAGATCATAAACTGACTGATGTTAGACTACCATTGAAAACCTGGAAGAAACGACCATTCAGTGCTTACAGGTTTTCAATGGTGGTCTCACATCAATCAGTTCATGATGTCAATCAAAACTATGTATTTATCGGTTCTGTTGACATGATTAATACATATAACTTTAATTTAACTGGATTTTCATTTTCTTCAGTTAGGTGAGGAAGACAGACTGGTTAGATTTATAATTTATGGATGACCTTTAAGTGACGCTAAACTCTAAATCTTGATAATATCGTTAGCGCTTACTTTATGTAAAAGTCTAAATTGTCCAGAATGATAATAAAAGCTTAGCAATGAACCTAACAATACTAAAATCATCCATCCAAGCTATAAAAAGAAAATTTCCATCCATGATTTAAAACTCATGATATTTATATCATGAACTAAGTAAAAGTATCATTGTTGAAATCTAGAAAACTTTAATGTCAACATATATTACATCTAATTTATATTAGTTTCAGAAGGGGTTTTGTGGATATTATGGTAATTTTTAATAGTTGAGATCATGAGTTAATTGAAGCTAAATCACCATGGAAAACCTGGAAGCACTGGACAGCTGTTTCGTCCCATTGTGGGGCTTCTCAGCAGTGTGCATCCACGATCCCACCTTACGAGATTCGAACACAGGACCCATCAATCTCGCACGCGAACGCTTAACCACTAGACCACTGGTCTGGCCGACATCCGACAGTGTTAATGTCTAACTTCAACTAATTTCTATTAATTGAATCAATTAATCTATTATATAAACAGTTAGATTTCACAAAAAAATGTACATTCAATCAATTTGTCACATTTTATGATAAATAGAGTGTATGAAATGATCAGTGAAATGAAAATCAAATAAACAGAACAATGATAGCATGTTATGTGCTACTGATGTCGACGGATATAAGTAGTATGTATCATCAATCAAAGTAAAATACCTGGTGGCAGATGGTTAAGAAGATCTAAGGAAAGAGAAAGAGAACAGAGAATGTTTGATGTGGAATCGAAGAAACAATCAAGTCTAAGTCAAATGATTGACATTTTTCAAATGAAGTATTTACTGTAGAGTTCTCAGATTTTACTAAGAGATACTGTAAATACATTCGATTGTCCCACACTTGTGTGCATGATCACTACAATAATATCAATTAAAGTAAAAAAATGTAGTCAGTTGGTTTAGCTAAGAATCAATAGGGACGGTGATACGCGTCAGATAAATATTAAATCGAAATCTCCCAGTTCTTTTTTTATACAAACATAAACTATCTTCAAAAGTCGATGTAATGTGAAAACAATACTTATCAAGCAACGATTTACTTCATTGAAATAAAACTCTTCAACCTGAAAGTATTTAATCAATATTTTCCCGATTTTATCTTGTAACTTATCAACCATTTGCATATCTATTGTGTATACTCAAAATCTGAATATACATCAATCATAGGTGAGACTATAATTTATGGACGATCTTGGATCGACGCTAGACTGACCTCGAGATTGTCCACCTAGGGTTAAAAAGCAGTGTGAGGGAGTAGGATTATGATTTACAGTTGATGGTTAACGTTAGGAATTAAATTGAGGATTTTCATCACGAACTGACATCAATTATAAGGCCAAAACTCTATTTAGTCAAATGAATGAGTGAATTTCGCGCCAAATATCCGAGATTTGTTATCTTATACCTGATCAATTCATCCATTATAGAATGTTTTGGTAAAATATACATTAAATACCTCATTTCTACGTCTTCCATCAGTTGTCTCTCACAAAATTCCTCATCCCTCCATTCCTATTTTTATTGCATTTGCGATCTGTTTACATTTTTGTTCTCTTCAATTCGATCTTCTCAACCTTCGGTTACCAGACATTTCACTTCTGATTAGGTGTTACATACTACTTATATCTGTTGACATAAATAGCATACACAACAATAATAATAGTTATCAGAAGGGGTTTGTGGAGATTTTAGAAATTTCACTGGTTGAACTCATGAGTCATTTGAAGTTAGACCACCATGGAAAACCTGGAAGCACTGGACGGCCGTTTCGTCCTAGTATGGGACTCCTCAGCAGTGCGCATACATGGTCCCTCACCCGACGAGATCCGAACCCAGTATCGCGACAGGCGTCTAACCAACTAGACCACTGAGCCGGCATTCAACGGTGGTAATGTCTAACTTCAACCAATCGACGAAGTCGCGCCACCGTGAGATATCAACTCACTGAAGACAATGGTGAACGGTGGTGCAACTTCGTGGATTGGTTGAAGTTAGACAATGACACCGTTGGATGTCGATTGGCTCAGTGGTCTAATGGTTAAGCGCTCGAGAGCGAAACCAATAGGTCCTGTGTTCAAATCTCGCGGGGGGCGGGATCGTGGATGCTCACTGCTGAAGAGTCCCATACAAGGACAAAACGACCGTCCAGTGCTTCCAGGTTTTCCATGGTAGTCTAGCTTCGATTGACTCATGATATCAATAAGAATAGTTACTAATCAATAAATCAGATGGAACAAATTTCAGTCTTGCTATTATCGCACAATTATCTATCGTTTTCAGTGAGTATATTACCCTAGACTTCTATACGGCTGATCATAACTAATCTGTCCTTATATAATAGATGGATTGAATCCAATAGCTAATTTCTAGTCTAGTTCACATGTAATAAAATCGACGTAAGTAGTTTCGTCATTATAAATAAATATAAGTATATATGTATATGTCGAACTTGATAAATGTCGAAATGTATGTCTTTCATAAATTGATTAGAATGGATTCATTATAATAGCTAGTTAACATACATAGAATGAAAACATACTTTCATTATCTTAGTGTTCTTTTTTAAAATACCCCATAGATTTTTCTGAAAGTAGAACCTTTCATTATGAGAAAACCAACTAGTTATTTTATTAAAATTATATACATACATGGCTATATATAAACTATGGTATGAATACACCCAAATATGTCAGTTAAAAGTTGCCTTGATGAGTAAGTAGGTTATAAATTTGTTTAATAGTTTATAAAATGTATCAAAATCTATATAAAAGTTATATTTTAATTGAAATAAGAAGAAAGGAATGTGATTGTTAGATCATATTGTGTTGTGGTTTACTTATATCTAGATAAGTAGTA